AATGCTATGTTCCTTCTCCAATACTCCTACTATCCTATCGTTCAGCAGCTTGCAGAACACTTTCCCTACTGTGTTCAACAGTGTGATCCCCCTGTGGTTTCCTGGGTCAGTCTTGTCTCCTTTCTTAAACAAGTTCACAACCATTCTTTCCCTCCATCTACTTGGCGTATACTCGTTTTTCCACATCCAATTGTAAGCAGTACCATCAGCTGGATCATTCCCTTCCCCCCAAACTTCATGAACTCGTTGACTATCCCATCCGCTCCTGCTGCTTTGTGGCACTTCAGCTTGTTCACACACGCCTCAACCTCGTCCTCAGTGAACTCCTTTTCTAGTTCTACGTTCCCAACGTCTGCCTTCGATGTCTCTTCTTCTTTTTGGGCCCATGCGTCCACCTCCTTCTTAAACACTTGGTCAAAAGCTTCATTCTCCGAGGGCACTCCAAGTCTCTTGTAGTGTCCTGCTAGAACTCTCCTTTTTCCCTTCCCACTGCTGACTAATCCACCGTTCACACCTCGAAAAGTCGTTACCCCTGTATCCCCCCCTTGCGCGGTCTTTTTTACCATTCCACTATCCCTTCCCACATCTGCTTGACGTTCCCCTCCAGGCCTCCGTTGGCCTTCTGCACTACTTCGTCCCAAATACACTTTTTCTTCTTTTTCACTAGTCCCTTCACCTGTTTTCTCTTGGCCCTGTACTTTTCCCAACTCTCCTCAGACGCCTCACTCAGGCACTACTTGAAGACTTCACGTTTCCCCTATTTCGTCTTTCAGCTCGTCATCCCACCACTTACCGTACATGACACAATATAAAACACCCCCTTGACCATTTTTCAAAGCTCGATCATGTGACAACGAAGAGGATGCATAAATGAAACAATACATTTTCGGAAAGCTCTAGACGAGACACCTTCAACTCCACCGTTTTCTGCGCTGTAACTCTTTCTGCTGTCGAGAAATCGAGATTTGAAAATCGGTCCAGGGGGTGTGTTATCTTGTGTCATCTACGGTAACCGATACCCCACATCGTACCACCTTCTTTCCCACTACTCTCTCTGCCGTTTCGTTCACTATTGACTCCCACCCTTCAATCACCCTGTCCCCTGCTGCGTGTACGTCTACCTGTCCGTCTTCGACGCTTCTCAGCAGTTTCCTGAAGGATTCTACACTACCAGCCAGCCCCTTCTGGAATTCATCCCGTGTCCCATCGT